GCTCATCCTGCCCACAGGTGGTTTGTTCCTCCAGGATGAAGCTCAATGTTTACGAGAATGTTGCATGTTTAGGTCTCCTGAAGACGCTCAATACCACCACGGAGGAGATGGAAGCCGTGAGCAAGGCAGGCCTGGGGATGCTGAGGTTCGTGGAAGCTGTCATGGGCTACTGCGACGTCTTCAAAGAGATCAAGCCCAAAAGAGATAAGGTGCTGCTCGCCCGTGAGACCCAGCCCCCCTGCCGAGATGCCCACGTAGACCCAGAATGAATGTGGCCGCCACTCTGCTGGCAACGTCTGGGTGCAGTTCTGACCTGTCAAATGATGGCTGAGAGCCACAGCTGTCATGTTAATGGGGTGGGCAGTGACACAGCCACAGCCAGGCCTGCGAGTCTCAAATGATCTGGGAGAGGGTCGGAAGAAGATGGTGAAAGTCCGGTGATGGGCTGAAGCCCTGGGTTTCTCAGCCTGCTAATGTGGACATTTGGGGCTCGCTGGTCCTTGGAGAGGGGCTGTCCATGCTTGGTGGGATAGTGCCCCTGGTCTCCACCCACTCAATGCCATTGTCCCCATCCCCCAGTTGTGACCAGACATGGGTCCAGGCATCGCCACATGTCCCTGGGGGTGGGTGGCCCATTTGGGAGCTGAGAGTCTCACACAGAAGGCACCCTACAAAGAGGCTGCTGAGGAGAGCTGGGACCTCACTGTGTACTGACTTTGCTTTGTGACTTGGACCCTGGCTCTGAAGACGTGGCCCAGAGGTGAGGCCAGTGGGTTCCATCCATGCGTTTCTGAGTTTTTAACTTGGAATCCAGTGGCATCATGCCATGGCTTTAGGGTGCATGTGAGCTAAATCACCTGCCAAGCGGGGCTTGGCCTCTCCTGGGGGCGTACAGAGTGCACCATTGGAAGGGCCTCCAAGGAGATACACCTCTGTGCTCATAGTGGCCCCGGCACAGGGGCCCTTGAATAACACATGGGGCCTTGGAACCCCGATACACCTCTGTGCTTATAGTGGCCCCGGCACAGGGGCCCTTGAATAACACATGGGGCCTTGGAACCCCGATACACCTCTGTGCTTATAGTGGCCCCGGCACAGGGGCCCTTGAATAACACATGGGGCCTGGGAACCCCGATACACCTCTGTGCCCATAGTGGCCCCGGCACAGGGGCCCTTGAATAACACATGGGGCCTGTGAATCCCGATACACCTCTGTGCCCATAGTGGCCCCGGCACAGGGGCCCTTGAATAACGCATGGGGCCTTTGAACCTCCACTGCTGCCCCTCCCACTATGGTCCTGTCTGTTCCCCCCCGACCCCCCTCACTCAGGTGGCGAAGCTGGAGCGGACTTTCTTCCTCACTAAACGTGAACTGGAAAAGATCCAGAATGAGTTGGCAGCCATCCAGAGAGAACTGGAAGCTTTGGGGGCCAAATACGAGGCGGCCATCCTGGAGAAGCAAAAGCTCCAGGAAGAAGCTGAGATCATGGAGCGAAGGCTGATAGCTGCTGACAAACTCATCTCTGGGCTGGGGTCTGAGAATGTCAGGTTAGCAGGGAGAGTGGGGGGTGCCGGGCCCACAGCCTGTGAGGAGTGGCTGGAGCCAGACGTGGTGGCTTGGGGTGATCACCCTCCCTTCTCCCGGGGGGCCTTCCTCCCGATGGAACTTTTATCCTACAGCTGTGCAGAAAGTTCGGATCTTACTGTCATCACATGTAAGGTAGCTCATGGCCACCAACAGAACAGACACTGTTCTTTTTATTTTATTTTTGTCTTTATCGAGTGATTGCTCAGAGTTTGGGAGGCAGCAGAGGTGCCAGGTGCCCTCCTGGCAACTGTCTGGGGGGCTCTGGAGGAGCAGCCTGCCTCTGTGACAGGTGCCTCCTGAAGCCCCCGAGGCTGGTTTGGAGGTTCAGTCTTAAGTAGCAGGGTGTTAGGGCTCAGGGGCCATGCCACATGGCCACAGCTCATCCTCCAAATGTGACAAAAGCGTCTTCTGGCACCTTAAACATGGCATGGAACACACAGCAAAATGTCTCTGGGAACATTCAGTTCCTGATATTCCTAAAATCTAGACCACCTGGAGAGGCCAGCCACATGCCCACAGTCTCTGGTCTGAGTAGGGTTCCCATCCAGCTTGGCCTCTGCTGGGTGTGTGCCTGAGTTAGCATGTGTTTGGAAAACAGTGTGATGACTGCTTAATGAGTGTCTTTGGGACAAAGCCCCCACATATGTTTATCCGAAGGCCTGACCCCCATTCAGCTGAGCCAAGTGGCAAAATGAGCCAGCAGCCTCTAGCCAGAAGAGCCTGGCCAGTCCAGAAATGGTACCTTTTGGCTAGTCCCATTAGCAAGGTGGTATGCTGGTCCTTCTAGAATGTTCCTTGGCATTATATGGGGAGGTGACTGCTGACACCGTCCTCCCCCCATGCCAGGTGGCTGAAGGACCTGGCAGAGCTCATGCACCGGCGGGTGAAGCTGCTGGGGGACTGCCTGCTGTGTGCGGCCTTCCTGAGCTATGAAGGCGCCTTCACCTGGGAGTTCCGCGACGAGATGGTCAACCAGGTGTGGCAGGAGGACATCCTGCAGCGGGAGATTCCCCTGAGCCAGCCCTTTAGACTGGAGAGCCTGCTCACGGATGATGTTGAGATCAGCAGGTACATGTGCCACCCTGAGCCAGGAGGATGGGGGTGCTGTGGGGTGCAGGCAGGGGCACAGCTGAGCTGACCGCAGAGGTGGTGCAAGAAACATCAATGTCCCGTGTCTGTTCCTTCCAGGTGGGGCTCCCAGGGGCTGCCGCCTGATGAGCTTTCGGTGCAGAATGGCATCCTCACCACCCGGGCCAGTCGCTTCCCCCTCTGCATTGACCCGCAGCAGCAGGCCCTGAACTGGATAAAGAGGAAGGAGGAGAAGAACAACCTGCGGGTATGGCCGGCTTCCCCGTGTCCTGGGGAGCAAGGCTCTGAGCAAGGCTGCCTACCCCACCTTCCCGGCAGTTCAGCTCCCCAGGGCAACAGGAGCTCCCTCAGATTCTCAGGTGTTCAGGCTGGGGCAACTTCAAGGTCAATGTCACGCTTTACTCATCTGTGTGACCCTTGACCCAGTATCAGACTTGTGATCTCAAATACTCCATCATCTTCCCCTGAAAAATGGGGAGGGGCTTGATTGAGGGCTTATTCATGTACCATGCTGTTCATATCACCCAGATAAAACACATAATTCAGGGTATATTTACAGAGCTTGACAATCATCAGAATCAGTGTTTCTCACCCAAAAGAAATGCTGTCTCCTCTGAACATCACTACCCACCACACAATCCTTTCATCCCTCTGATACCTACCCCAGCCTCTGCCAATCCACTGCTATGTTTTGTCTCTGTGACAACTCTTCGGGGCTGGCATGACTCACTCTCACCACGTTTTCAAGGTCCATCCACAATGGAGCAGGTATCGGGGCATTTATGGCGAAATTGTAGCCCAGCATACAGACACCAAGGCTTGCTCTCTGCTCCTCTGTCTAAGGGCATTGTAACCAAGAGCTTATGATGAATGTTGTTGCTGTGAGCATCCATGTGCAAGTTTGTGTATGTGTGTTTTCAACTTTTTTGGGTGAAATTGCCGTAACTCAATCACTTTTTGCTGAACTGACTTCAGGACGTTCAGGCTTGCGTGCTCCTATTCTTTTCTGGTCCTTGCTCCTTGCTCCACGCAGGGGCATCCCTGGGCTCCCCTTTCCCTCGCTGGCTGAGCCCTCTCAGGTGGTAGCTTTCCTGCTCTCCAGTTCCCCTACGTGAGCCCAGCCCTGACCGGGAGGAGCGGCGCTCCTGAGGGCAGACGCTAAGCAAGTCGGCGTCACGCCAGAGTGGTGAGAGCCCAAGGGACCAGGTGAAGGGAGAGATTTGTCAGCTGTTTTGAAGAAAGAGACTTCAAAGCAATCATGAAGAAAAGGGAAGCAGATTATGAGATGGGTGGGAGCTAGATTTTTGGTGGTGGCCATGATTTGGTATAGATGTCAAATTACAATGCACTACACCTGAAACCTAGGTCATATTGCCAACCAGTGTTACTACCACACAAATTTATTTCATACAAGGGAAAAACAATAAGCCAAAATGTCTGGTGGAGTGGTTCCAATCCCTGGTCTATGAGCCATATAACAAAATTCTCTCATGGTTTCCAGTGGCTGCTGAAGTTCACTTTTGAGTGAGAGGCTGCTTGGAGCCAGGGCCTTGTGGGTTTCTGGGTTTACTCGGACTACGGCCCTGCTGTCTCCACACTGTCCCCCACCACCTCCCTCTGAGGTTCTGACATGGCCACTTCCAAGACATGACCTCTCAATCTGGCCAGGGCTCAGCAGAGGGGGCTGACCTCAGCCCTTGCCTCCCCTTGCAGGTGGCTTCCTTCAACGACCCCGACTTCCTCAAGCAGCTGGAGATGGCCATCAAGTACGGCACCCCCTTCCTGTTCCATGACGTAGATGAGTACATCGATCCGGTGATTGACAACGTCCTAGAAAAGAATATCAAGGTCTCCCAAGGGCGACAGTTCATCATCCTGGGAGACAAGGAAGTGGACTATGACTCGAATTTCAGACTGTACCTGAACACCAAGCTGGCCAACCCCAGATACTCGCCGTCTGTGTTTGGGAAGGCCATGGTGATCAATTATACTGGTAAGCAAGCAGGGGCCAGAGCGGGGCAGTCAGTCGCCCTACATTTGGGCTCCCCCTGCCCCTGCTGAATTCTGTTAGGAATCGAAGTCCAGGCCGCTCCTTCCGGAGCCTTGTCATTTAGCTTCTTAAAGCCCCTTGATTAGGTTTGGGCTTGTTTCGACTGGGGAGCCCTTGGCTTTATCTGCATCTGGGTTCTTTTCATCCCATGTCTGGGATGTTTCCTTTGTTCAATGTTTCACCTTGTGGCTGTGGAGTGATTTTGGCGGAAAGATGGAGCCTGGTGTCCCTGCAATGGGGCTGGGGCCTGGGGCACAGCTGTGTCGGCGAGGAGACATGGGACCAGTGGCGGGGGCATGGCAGTGAGGCCCCCGGCCCCCCACAGTCACGCTGAAAGGCCTGGAGGACCAACTGCTGAGTGTGCTGGTGGCCTACGAGAGGCGAGAGCTGGAGGAGCAGCGGGAGCACCTCATCCAGGAGACGAGTGAGAACAAAAACCTGCTGAAGGACCTGGAGGACTCTCTCCTCCGGGAGCTGGCCACCTCCACGGGGAACATGCTGGACAATGTGGAGCTGGTGCATACGCTGGAGGAGACCAAGTCCAAGGCCATGGAGGTACCAAGGGTGGGATAAGGGGGCACCAAGCTGGCAGGGGTCTTGCCTTTGGAGTGCTGCTCTCCAGGCCTGGTCACAGAGGGCATTGAGCTCCGTGCTCCCAGATCCCACTTGTGCTGTGGGCCTTGGCAGGTGAGGGGGCGGGGGCTGACAACAGACTTGGGCTTTGGGTCACCTGAGGATTTGCCTGATGGGAAGAGGCTGATCTCTTGGGGTGTGCTATGGCAAAGGTGTCCTAAAGGTGTTCCCAGGGCCTCTGGGGTGTGAGGCAAGCCTCTTTCAGTAGAGAGTGATGGAAACTGAACCTGGCTTGTAGGTCGAAGGGAGTTTATTGACCTAGAAAACATGCAGGATCCAGGACTCCAAATACACCACCAGGACTGATGGGGCCTCAGACAGTGGGCTCCTTCTCTGCCACCCCATGGAGCCAGGCTCCCCACGGGGTCACATGGTGGGCCTGGCCTCCACCCTCTCAGCTTCCAGATGCAAAGGGAAGCATCCTTCCCCCATCAGGAAGGTCCTGAGAGTCCTAGGTTTACTCTGTGGCCTGGGGATGCTGTGTGTGGGTTGATTGAGGCTGGTCACACGCTTTTCTCCTGGAGATGGGTGCAGCCACACCAAGGGAGTGAAGGGGAAGTTTTGCATGCCCGAACAAAAGTCAGGGACTGTGTTTAGAAGAAGGGGGCCTGGGTTCAGGGGAGCCAAGTCACCAACAGCCACCAGATCTCATGAGAGGGGTACCTCTGGTCCCCTGCAGCCCCTGGTCACTTTCAACCCCTGTGGACCTTGCTGCCCCTTCCTGCCTCCACCCTGGCCTTGCTTTCTCATCCGCAAGTCTTCCTGGTGATGGGTTAGGTCTCCTGTTTCCATGGCCACACGCACTTTTCCTTTAGGTCACAGAGAAACTCAAGCTGGCGGAGAAGACGGCGCTGGACATCGACAGGCTGCGGGACGGGTACCGGCCGGCCGCCAGGAGGGGTGCCATCCTGTTCTTTGTGCTGTCAGAGATGGCACTGGTGAACGCCATGTACCAGTACTCCCTGGCTGCCTTCCTGGATGTCTTCAGCTTGTCACTCAAAAAGTCCCTGCCAGATTCCATTCTCATGAAGCGTCTGAAGAACATCATGGACACGCTGACCTTCAACATCTACAACTACGGTTGTACAGGTGAGTGCCTGGTCCCTGCAATCTGGACAGGTGTACAAGGTGCAGCTGTAGAGAAACCTGGCCTGTGAAAATGGAATTGTGCCAAGCAGCATCTACACTTGTGACTGTTAGCTCAGAGGATTTTGTTAAAACAATAGCTCTTTAGGGGCTCTCTCAGGTGGCACAACGTGTTAAAGCACCACATTATGATACTCTCGGAAGCCACTGCAGCATAAATTCGATCCCCCACCCGGGACTGACCCACACAGTGTGGCAGACCTCTCCTGACCTGCCCGCTGCTCCCCTCAGCAGTATATTTCATCTCTTGGCCTGTTCTGGCCCCCACTCTGTCTCTGGGGAATCCTCTCACCCACCACATCTCTAGCCTGTACCCCAGTTCTGTAAGCATAGATACATAAATCTTTAAAACAAAAAAAAAGCTCTTTGGAGGTATAAATTCACACAACAGACAATCTACCCTTTGAACATGTACAACTGGGTGATCTGTGGTGTCCTCCACCACAAAGTGGCCAGGACCACTTTCTGGAGAATGTTCCAGAACATTCTCACCTGTCTGTAAAACAAAACCTATACCTCTTAGCTGTTACCCTCCATTCCCTCTGCTCCCAGCGCCTCATCAGCAGTAACCAGCTGGTGGGTGAGGTGAGCTGACCGGAGGGAGACTACTCGTTTGCAGAGCTGGTGTGTGCCATCAATGGAGCTGTATTCTTTGTGCCCAGATATTCACAGGCATCAGATGCCAGCAGGGTGCTAAGCTGGGGCCTGCATTTCATTTCTCATCCATGAAGCACACATGCGTGCATAAAAAGCTCAGGCTTTAAAATGAATTTATTTGTCCAAAACCCATCTGCTTGTTTCCCTACAGGGTTGTTTGAGAAGCACAAGTTACTCTTTTCTTTCAATATGACTATTAAAATCGAACAAGCAGAAGGGAGAGTCCCCCAGGAGGAATTAGATTTCTTTTTGAAAGGTAATGGCTTTGCTTCCACCCAACTCCCCTGGCCCCCCTGCGCATGTGGGGTCTGCTCAGGAAAACAAGCAACAGAAACTCCTAGACGCTGGTTTCTGCCCAGCTGGCTGTGGCAGCCTGACGCTGAGCTGCTCAGGAACTGGGGGCTGCCCAGGCTGGAGGGGGGTGCTTGTGGGCCTGGGGGCCTCCGTTCCTCCCCTTCTTCAAAGGCAGTTTCCCCCAGAGTGAGCAGTCGAAGGGCTGTGCTGTGTGTCCTGCCCTGTACGTGGCTACCGACTGTTGACGTCTCCTCTTCCGTCATGATTAGGAAACATTTCCCTGGAGAAGAGTAAACAAAAAAAGCCCTGTGGTTGGCTGTCTGACCAGGGATGGGAAGACATCATTCTTCTATCAAAACTGTTCTCAGACAACTTTGGGAATCTCCCTAGTGATGTCGAGAAACATCTGTCTGTCTGGCAGGAGGTGAGATCCTGATCTCTCTCCTTCCTTGCCCTCCATGTATGTCATCTGCAGACTTTCACTGAGCTGATTCCTTGTGAGCAAGAAGGTACTCCTTTGAGTAATCCAATCAGAATGTAATCGGTGCCCCCAACTCCTGGAATGTGGTTTCCTTCATCTTCAGCTAGCTTTGTGGGAGACTAACTGTGCCATCTGCTCTTTTATCCCTCCATCGCTTACTTATCATCTATCCATCTCTGTCCCATCTCATCCAATCATCCCTTCACCTGTTCATCCAACTGTCCATCCAGCCATCATTACATCTGTACGCCTGTCCACCCACCCATCCTAGAGATAATTTATTAAGTCTCTAGCATGGACCATACCCCTTGGGACTCAACAATGAGTAAGACTCAATCCCTTTCTTCTTGAAGATCACAGTTTTGGAGGGTGGAAAATGACAGTGGTGACCAGAAGTGACTTTGAGTTCATGTTTCCATAGATTCACTCCCTTATCCTGGCTTGTGGGGGTTTCACAGCGCCAGGCCATGCCACTTACAAGCTGACACAGCTGTGTTCTCTGTTCTCCCAGTGGTATGACCTGGATTCGCTGGAGCAGTCCCCATTCCCTTTGGGTTATGACAAGGACATCACCCCTTTCCAGAAGTTGCTTATTTTGCGCTGTTTCCGTGTGGACCGGGTATACCGGGCAGTGACCGACTATGTGACCGTGACCATGGGAGAGAAGTAAGAGTGCCCTTTGTGTCTGCGGGCCCTTCCTGGGGTCCCCGGCTCAGGGCCATCTCAGCCCTGCCTGCATCCCCCCAACCCCTGCCCCCAACCGAGACTCTGGAAGAGCACGCTCTTCCAGAGGGACATGGGCCATGGAGAGTGATGTCATGTTTTCCAGGAGTCAAGTTCAAAAAGAAGCAGGCCAAGCTAGTTTTATCTTAGTTAACTCAATACACTAAATTATTTTTATTTTAATACGTGATCAATATAAATGAGCACTTTCCTACATGTTTACAGTCTTCGACATTTGTGTGCATGCACACTTGAGGCCCATCTTGCCTGCACTCAGTCACGCTTCAAGTGCTGCCCACTAGCCACACATGCCACATGGCCACGCTGCCCGGGGATCAGTTCTAGAGTCAGGTGTAAAGCAGACAGTAACAACAGCAGGCCCACAGCTGATAGGCAGGGGAGTGCTGCGTATGGACAGAGCAGCCCAGGGGTGTTGCTCCTTACTTCCCAGGTACTGACACCAGGGAGCAGAGGAGATCCAGCTCGGGCACACCTGGAAACTTGGGTTCTGCACGAAAACTCCCTGTCTTTATGTGTTGCTGACTAGTTTTAAAAATCTCGAGATGTGGATCATTCGGGAAGCACCCATGAGGCTGTTGACGTGGCTCCTCTGTGCTTTGTGCCAGTGGGGTGTCCCCTGGAAGGTCATGTGAGGGACCACCCACAGGGACACCACCAGCTCAGAGCCAGTGTTGAGGCACCGAGCCGTGTGGGCGGTGCAGAGACACCCCACACTGGAGCTCAGCCTCCAGTGTGCCGGATGGGCTGAGAGACTGGATCTGGGCTGAGAGTGGTGCTGGGGGCCGCCAGGAGGAGACAGTGTCTGGCAACACCCTGCCCCGGCCTGAGGGGTTCTCCTGGAGTTACCTCACGTGGCTTCTTTCCCCAGGTACGTGCAGCCCCCCGTGATCAGCTTTGAGGCCATCTTTGAACAGAGCACCCCAAACTCTCCCATTGTGTTTATCCTGAGCCCTGGCTCTGACCCCGCCAGTGACCTGATGAAATTAGCCGAGCGGTCTGGCTTTGGAGGAAACCGCCTCAAGTTCCTGGCCATGGGTCAAGGTCAGGACAAGGCAAGTTGTTGGGAAAAACAACCATCTGAGGTGAGACCCCAGATGCCATGAGGACCGAGCCAGCATCTGGTTTGAAGCTGAGAGCGCATCTCATGCTCAACCAGCTGCCCTGCGTCTCAGGCGGGCCCAGAGCTGAGCCGGCCTCCCCAGCCTGGTGGGATCGTCAGCTCCCAGTTTCGAAGTCCTTGCACACCTTCTCGGTGTTCTCTCTCCTCCCCTTCGCGCTGGCCACGGGCTGCTCCCATGCGGGTCTCGTGCACTTGTCCTAGGACCAAAGGGACCCAGCTGTGGTCCTGGTTCAGCCGTGAGCCATCCAGACAGCAGGCAGAGCCCAGGCAGCAAAAAAAAAAAGCCAAGGGCACCAGCAGTGGGGGAAGCGCACGCTCTTGGGCCACAAAACGGAAAGGAACTCTTCACACGGGCATTGTATGTTTTCCAATCCCCCGCTTCTAGGAGTGTTTAGCTTTTTTACTTTGACCTGGAAGGATCTGGGGGACATCTGGCATTCAGGCTGGACCTCAGCCCTGGCAGGGTTAGCGGTCGTGCGGTGTAGCTGGCAGAGAGCACCTGGAGCAGTGTGGCTGTGGGCGAAGGTGTCGCCTGAGTGCACCTGCCTGCTCGCCTTCCCTCCCAGGAGCGGACCCAGCGGCGGCCCTGCTGGCCTCTGAGGGGGTCTTTTTCAGGGTGCTCTCTGTGGCTCCTGGATCATCAGCTCCCTTGGCTCCCCTGGCAGGAACCACCATTCCTATGGAGAGGCCCTGGGGGCCCCTAGGGGAGGGGCTGGCAGCTCAGGGACCGACTGTCCCCTTCTGTCCCCTTGGTGCAGCTGGCCCTGCAGCTGCTGGAGACGGCGGTGGCTCGCGGCCAGTGGTTGATGCTGCAGAACTGCCACCTCCTGGTCCGGTGGCTCAAGGACCTGGAGAAGTCCCTGGAGCGCATCACCAAGCCCCACCCCGACTTCCGCCTGTGGCTTACCACCGACCCCACCAAGGGCTTCCCCATTGGAATCCTGCAGAAATCCTTGAAGGTCTGGCCCAGCACCCGCGCACTGGGCTCCCCAGCCTTTGCTCACCACCTCACATAGAATCTCACCACAAGGGTAGCCAGGACCTCAGGGCCACCCGCCCTCAGCGCCACTTCTCCTGCTTGTGTCAGGGTGGGTGCTAGGCAGAGTGGGGGGGCCTCTGACTTCCACACCTTTGTAGCCAGGCTCTGTGTGTAGCCAAAGGAAACCACACGCAGGCCTCTCCGCACATGGTGAATCACACGTGTCTGCAGAGCAGTGGGACGTGTGTGTGGGAGCTCACCTTAGCTTCATGCTCCCGAATGTATTCTCCGGAGGCTTTCGGGGAAAGGTTTTATCTCTCTCCATGCCTGGGGCAGGTGGAGAGAAAACATGGCCATTGCTTCATCTCCGAAGACCCCAAGGTTCAGGAAACTCACTATCACTGATGAGCAAGCTCAGGCCCGGGACAGCAGCTGGCTCCTACCCCCTTCCCCTGGGCTCCAAGGAGCAGGAGTGGCTGCATGAAGATGAGGGAAACGTCTGGCAGGGCCTGCGGCCCCCCATGGTTGTCTTCTCCCTGGACAGGTTGTCACGGAGCCGCCCAATGGGCTGAAGCTCAACATGAGGGCGACGTACTTCAAGATCTCTGAGGAAATGCTGAGCCAGTGCCCCCACCCAGCCTTCAAGTCCCTGGTGTACGTGCTGGCATTCTTCCATGCTGTGGTGCTGGAGAGAAGAAAGTTCGGGAAGATCGGCTGGAACGTGTACTACGACTTCAATGAGTCTGACTTCCAGGTGAAGACGTGGCGGCTCCTGGGGAAGCCGCTCCCACACAGGCTGGCCCGGCCCCCGACCCCCCTTCCTCCCCAGTTCATGGCAGCAGTTCTGTCCACATTCTGGAGATGGGTCAGGAGAGGAACGACTCTGCCGGGTTGAGTATTAACCGTGCCTGCCCTTCCTCTCAAGGTCTGCATGGAGATTCTGAACACGTACTTGACAAAAGCCTTCCAGCAGCACGACCCCAGGATCCCATGGGGCAGCCTCAAGTACCTCATTGGAGAGGTAGGGTCTGGGGGTCCTTCTGCCAGCTGTCCCCAGAAGCTGGAGCTGGGCTGTGGCCTGGTGCCCTTCACCTTCACATTCCTGTTGGGAGCCCCTCTCCCGTCTCTGCAAAGTCCTCCTGCGCCTCTGCCAGGTGGTGTTCCTGTGAGAGGCCATTTGCCTGCAGGTGCTGGAGTCGCGCCCCCGGACCCACGTGCTCTCGGGTGGGCAGGACAGGCCAGCAGGCTAGGGCAGGTGGCCACAGGGCTCGGTCAGGCCAGTGTGTGTAGCAGCACATGCTGGAGACTGGCTCTGGGAGGCTCCCTCTCCGCCAGCTCGTGGCGCCCCCAGGGACACCCCTGAGTCCAAGGACAGTGGTCACCGCTTGCAACATCGTTCCTGCTTAGGGCTGAGCGCACAGCAGCTGCTCCCGGCTCTCCCGCCAGGCTCTGGGTTCAGCGCTGGTTCCCTGCAGCTGCGGGGCCAGTGGCTATAAGGGCGACAGAGGGCGTGGGCTCTGGGCTCTGGGCTCCGGGGTGGCTCTCACTCGAGGCGACCGCAGGTCATGTATGGAGGACGGGCCATCGACAGCTTCGACCGGCGCATCCTGACTGTATACATGGACGAATACCTGGGGGATTTCATCTTCGACACTTTCCAGCCCTTCCACTTCTTCCAGAACAAGGAGGTGGACTATAAGATCCCCGTGGGGGACCTGAAGGAGAAATTTGTGGGTGAGACCCTCAGACATCCAATAGTGCTCAAGGCTTTTTCTCAGAGCACCCCAGCTTCTCACTCTTGTTGCCTGGGGGGGGGGGACTTCTTGGTTGCCAGGCCCAGGGCTTATGACACCTTTGGGGGACCGAGGCACTCTTTCTGAGGTGTGGCTCAGGCTACCTGTCCTGAGCTGCTGGCCAATCCCCAGCTCTGCCAGGAGGGCAGAAAGGCCCCTGATGCCCATGGAGACAGTTTCATAAAGGGGGCACATGGCTGAGTGAAGTGTGGGAGAGGGAGGCTAATCAAAATCATCAGGCTTGGCAGTGGGAATTAGCTTCACGAGTCTGGGGTTTCCAGACCCCTCAGACACTCAGAGACACTGCAGTTCCCTGCTCTCCCATCACAGAAGCCATCGAGGCGCTGCCGCTGGCCAACACACCCGAGGTGTTTGGGCTGCACTCCAATGCCGAGATCGGCTACTACACGCAGGCGGCTCGGGACATGTGGGCGCACCTGCTGGAGCTGCAGCCTCAGACAGGTGAGTCCTGGGGCCGGCTTGGTCCGGGCTGGACGGCGCCCCAGGAACACCGCCCAGCCGCCTCTGGCAACCGCGCCCCCCTCCTACCCCAACCCTGCACACAGACCCCCATCTGGCTTCCTCTGAAAAGGGCCCTGGTTTTAGGGGAGAGCAGCAGCGGCATCAGCCGCGATGACTACATTGGCCAGGTGGCCAAGGACATAGAGAACAAGATGCCCAAGGTGTTCGACTTGGATCAGGTCAGGAAGCTCCTGGGGGTGGATGTGTCCCCCACGTCGGTGGTGCTGCTGCAGGAGCTGGAACGCTTCAACAGGCTGGTGCTGCGCATGTCCCGGTCGCTGGCGGAGCTGCAGAGGGTGGGCTGCACCCCCATCCCCGCCCTCTGCACCCCTTCCCCTCCCCACCTCCCCAGGCACCCCAGCTGGCGCCTCCTGTCCTTACCCAACGGCCCTGACTCCATGCATAGGCCTTGGCCGGAGAAGTGGGCATGAGCAGCGAGCTGGATGACGTTGCAAGGTCTCTCTTTATCGGCCAAATCCCGAACATCTGGAGGAAGCTCGCCCCTGATACCTTGAAGTCCCTTGGAAACTGGATGCTCTACTTCCAGCGGCGGTTCAGCCAGTACATGTCCTGGGTGAGTGACAGGCCACCCCGCCGTGACCGCTGGGGGCTGCTGGCCAGGCCAGAGCGCTCCGCTCCTCCGGCAGCTCGTGTCTTGCTTCCTCTCTGGATTTTCTTCCGAGTACCCGGAGCGTGACCTCGAAGGGGCACACCCATCACCGGCAAGTCTGTCTTGGCTGAAGTCCAGCGGGCGCCCCCACCTCCCTTCTCTCTAGGGGGTCACTTCGCAGACAGCTGCCCCCTTCCCGGACGGGGCCTCCTCTGGCTCGCCGACAAGACAAACGCGGGGCTGAGACGTGGGCGGAGAGCCGGGCCCCAGCGCGGGTGTTGCCGCTGGGGAGGGGCTCTCGGGGTCTGGCGCTGGTGGGTGTTTCCCTCCTAGGGGGGTGAGGCTGAGCAGATTTCACACCCTTGCAGACACTGCTTGCTTCTTCCTATGGGAACTACCCGCATCGTGCTTTGTCTTTATCGAGTTCTCCATCTTTCAAAACTGATCCTTGGCAGACCTCTGCCCACATGGGCCTGTGCGGTGTCTCTTCACCCACCTGCCCTTGGCACAACAGCAGTGGCAAACCTTCCTTAGGCAAACCTGGCCCGTTCAGCTGCAGCTTTCCTGCCGCTGTGTCTGCGCGGTGGCCTTCCCTTTTTTTTTTTTATAATAAACCTAACTACTTGGATATTCTAAAACACAAAAGCCAGAAATCGGATCCATGGGAACCCACCCTGTGACTGTGGGGGAACCCGGGCTCTGTGACAGGCACTTCTCAGTTCACTTTGGCGTCAGGTACCTTCTCCTACAGCCCAGGGTCTCTGTTTTCATGTCACTTCCCTGCGGCTTGTGTTTTATGACTTTTAGGCTTGGTGCTCCCCACGCCGAGACTGGGAGATGCTCCCTGGAGGTTTGATGTGGTATTCTGGTGGCTTCACCTTTATAGCCACACTTGTTATGCCACGGGAATTGGACGGCTTCAGTGCCAGAGAGCACTAGGGCAGCTCACTCTAGATTCAGGCAGATGGAGGAGAGAGTCCAGGAGTCCTCAGTGGCTTTTAGAGGCTTTAATGCTTGCAGGGAACCAGGTGCACAGCAGGGAGGCTGGCACCCAAGGAGCCTGGCATGCAAGGAGGCAGGCACAGGCTAGGTGTCAGGGCTGGGGGGCAGGCAGGCAACGGAGTCTCCCAGACCCCCCAAACCTACACTCTTTCTCTGTGCTCTCTGGCATTCTCTCGTGGTCTTGCCTCTTGCAGTCTCCTGTCCTCTGTAGCCGACCTTACATCCCTGGCCCCCAGGCCCAGGTGAGCACATGCACACACCCACACACGCTCTAGGTGTCTACAGTCAGGCCGGAGTGCCCTCGCCCAGCTCTGAGCACCTGCTGCTTCAGCACGCTCAATGCCACAGGTCTGGTGGCCAGAGGCCAGTGGTGCAAAAAGCCTGACCAGTTCGTTTACCCTGCAGTGGCCCAGCTGTTTGTTCCTGCCATGCTTTCACTTGTCCCCTCCATGTCTCTGGGCCACCACGCTGGGCTACATCTGGCTGTGAGCTCAGCTTGGGTCTGCTCTGACCCTGGTGTGGGTCCACTTCTCCAGGTCAACGACAGCGAGCCCAGCGTGATGTGGCTGTCGGGCCTGCACATCCCGGAGTCCTACCTCACGGCCCTGGTGCAGGCCACCTGCCGGAAGAACAGCTGGCCACTGGACCACTCCACCCTGTTCACACAAGTCACCAAGTTCCAGGATGCAGATGAAGTGAACGAGCGAGCTGGACAAGGTATTCTCTGTGGGGTCCCAGCGCCTCCTTCAGGGCCTCCCTCCAGAGCTGTACTCACTCTAAGGTATCGAGTGGGTCAGTCAGACTGTACTGGAGAGCAAGATAGATGCGGGCACTGGGCCTGGCCCATGTCTTAGTGTCTTGAGAATGTTCTCTTTCAGCTTCTCCCCTGGACACCTGGGTGGATGCCCCTCTAACTGGCTGGGTGGCAGGAAATGGGCTTCCAAGAGAGAATTACTTAGCTCTTACAAGGAACTGAGTCACTGGAGGGGTTCCCTGGAAACTCGGGGAGATCAGGGCATGGAGCCAGAGCGCGTGGGATGGGGTCAGCGCAACCACTATGGTGCTCGGACTTCAAGGCCCTCAGGTCTCAGTAACTGGCTGTGCATGTTGTAACTGGACAGTGAACTGCAGGCCAGCGGCCCTGGGACTGGGCCGGGGAATGGTCCGAGGGGGTGCGGCCCTCAGAGTGGATGGCCAGTGGGTGGCACTGGGGGTGGGGCTGCCACCACCCCTGGGCCCCGCCCTTTGCCTTCCTGTTCCCCTGTGCACTGTGCCCTCCTTCCCTGAGGCCACTTTCCAGATGAGCTTCAACTTCCAGCTTCCCAGTCATGCTGGTTGGGGGTATTTTGGTGGGATGGAGGATGTAGGGTAACCTCAGGCTCTGGTGTTCTGCTTTTTTAAAGATTTATTTATTTGCACATACAGAGCTGGGGTACAGGCCAGAGGTGCAGGGGCGATGAGAGGATTCATCAGAGATAGAGTGGGGAGCAGAACAGGCAGACTGGCGAATTACACTGCTGAGGGGAGCAGCAAGTGGGTCAGGAGAGGTCTGCCGTGCCATGGGGGTCACCTCCAGGGCTCACGCTGAAGTGGCTTTAGCTTCTCAGTGCTGTGTTTCAACCGCTGTGCCACCAGGGAGGGCCCAGGTGATGTTCTCCTTTTAATGGCCCCAGGTGCCCAAGGTGGTCTACTCTGTTGTCCTGATGCCCATCTGTGGGGAGTCAGGGGAGGGAGGAGGTGAGCACCCTTGTCCATCCGTGTGGCCAGGAGAGGGCTCGGGATCTTTGGATAAAGGCCGGAGCTCCTCCTTGCGCACCTGTCAAGGTGGTGATGGCACAGCTTTGGGTGCCGCCCCGAGGAGCCTGGGCTAGTCTCTCCTGCCCCGCCCCCAGGATGCTTCGTCTCGGGGCTGTATCTGGAGGGTGCAGACTGGGACCTCGAGAGGGGTTGTCTGGTCAAGAGCAAGCCCAAGGTGCTGGTGGTGGACTTGCCCATCCTGAAGATCATCCCCATCGAGGCCCATCGCCTCAAGCTGCAGGTAGGGCCCCACGCCTAGCACTGCCCTCTCCACACCAGTCACACACTAGCCCTTAGCCCTTCCCGGGTGGGTAGGGGCGTCCCCAAGGGACAGCAGGGCTGGTGGGAGACACGGGCGCCTGCGAATCTGTGGGGACCTGGCAGCAGCTCAGATGCATGTCTGGAAGCCTCGATCCAGACTAACTTGCATCTTATGAAACTCTGTGTTTGTCCTTGAGTCACAGAGTGGTTAGATGTGGTATGGATGGCGGGAGCTTCCTGCTTGGCCTGGCCTGGCCCTGCTGTGAGTGTCTCACCCAGGCCACGCCTGGAGGGAGGACCCACAGCCGAGCACCTGTGAGGCTCCTCACATACCCCTCCTCTGCAGAACACGCTGCGGACGCCTGTCTACACCACCTCCACCAGGAGGAACGCCATGGGGGTTGGCCTGGTGTTTGAAGCTGATCTCTTCACCACAAAGCACATTTCTCACTGGGTGCTGCAAGGGGTGTGTCTCACCCTGAATTCTGATTAACCTCGTGTACCCCCAATGCTGTTCCTGCATCCTTAGAACAGGGCCGACACCCATGTTTGGGTAATCAGCCATTTTAATACCTTTCAAGAGAAATTAACTGGATTGAAAAAAATAAAACATTTTTTATAGAATTCTGTATATTTACAAAGTAAATCCTAGAGAGCATTTTAAGACGTGTTGAGTTTTCTTTTTGTTCTCTAGGGAAAATGCCTGATCAAGCAGACTGCCTGGCCTTCCCTGGGCACAGAGGGCGTTCCGACATCAGCCTGCAGAGGGCGCTGTGGACCGCCCAGCTTTTTTAGCAGCTCCTTCTGGGGGTTTGGGGGGAGCTGAGGCAGTGGGGGCAGATGAAGCCTGTGCCTTGGGTTGATGGTGCCAGGCAGTCACACATGGCCACTCCTCTCCATTCCAGAACACTCTGGCTCAGCTCCTTTGACTCTGGTCAGTGTGTGGCTGAGGCTATAGAGCCTGGAGTTTAATTCCTGCTGGTTTACTTAGAACCTGCAGGACCACAGCAGCATCCAGGTGCTCTTTTCTTCTGCAAACCACGGGCCTAGCCTGGAGCCCGGGGGGAGCCTGGAGCCCTGGTGTCCAGCCTCGGTCCTAGCCTGGAGTCCTGGGGTCTAGCCTGGAGTCCTGGGGGTGGGGTTGGGGGCTAGCCTAAAGCGCTGGGGCCGAGCTAGAGCATTAAGTTCCAGCCTGGAGTCCCGGGGGCCAGCCTGAAGTGTGGCCAGGCCAGCTGGAAGCAAGGCAGAGGACAGGGTTGAACATCAGCAGGTCACAAGGGTGGGGATGGCCACAGATAAAAGTATCTTTTGCCAGGCTCTCAGAAGGGAAGAACATTCTGAGGGACAGCTCTGGGCGGTGGTAGAAAACAGGACTCCTCTTTCTGGGTGTGAACCCCAAGGGACGCGCCCCTGGGGAGCGTGCATCTGGATAACAGCATAGTAGTTACTGGGGTGTGGGTGCTGCTATTTCTCTCCTCCTGGGCCCTCCCTCCAGAAGGTTCAATAAAAGACACAAAACAGAAAGAAGGTAGGTTTAGAAAATAAAGTTTGTTGGGATCTTGAACATTTTGGATAAAACTAACAAAAAAAACACAGCAACTATGAACACACATTCAGGTGGTGGTATGAGGAGCACGTCATCTTATTAGTTCCCGTGACACGCGCGTACAGCTGCTCGGCGAGCCGTGCCGCCCTGGGGAGGGGCGGGCGGGGCGGGCTCCCGGACACCCGGGGTCAGGTCAAGGTCGGTACGGTACATGTTGCTGGGCTCGACGCCTGGGTGTGACGGGCTGTCGGGAGCCGGGGCAGAGACGTGGCCTGCGGCCCGGGCCTTCCGCAAGCGGGCGCTGAGTTACATGGGCGAAGCAGCCGTCGGCACGCGGTGTTTGGCCACAGCGATGAGTGAATGCGGACTCTGGGGGGTCGAGTGGCGGTGTCGGTGTGGGCGCAAGAGGAGAGTCATCTTTGGACGGGTCTGAAACAAACTTTGGCATGCACGGGAGCGTTAAAAGAAAATGTGGCGCGGGTGAGTTCTTGGGAGTGGTCACAGTGCGCGGACAGCGGCGCGGCGGGCGTCACACAGTTCTGTCCGTCCCTGAGTGCTTCCTCGCCACCTTGCCTCCATTCACCTGGTCCACTGCCAGCGTCTCCACCTCAGGCGGGGCCGGGGCTGCGTGGTGGATGCGGTGGGCCACCCCCACGTGGGCCTTGTGTAGCGGCTTCTCCCGGGCCGGGCTGGGCTGCTCGCTGGTGCCGCGGTCCGAGGCGATGGGGGGGATGACCAGAGGCCGCTCCTTGATGAGGTGCACTTCGGCGGACTCCCTGGCCAGCAAGAACGGGGTGGGGTCGGGCATGGCCTCCACTGGTTCCCGCAGGAGGAGTTTCCGGCTCTCAGCCCCAAATCGGTAGACCTCTTCAAATTCTGGGTGCAGGGGCGCCGAGAGGCTCTTTTTCATGCGGCGGCGGGGTGTTTCGGGCAGCTTGTCCTTGGGGGGCGCTGGCTTGTAGCTGGCCAGCACGGGGCTGCCGGATGGGCTGCTGTCGGAGGTGCCGCTGGCGCTCATGAGCTTCTTCTTGGTAGCGTGCAGCTGCGAGGTCAGGTAGGCGATGGTGCTGGCCCGCTGCTCCAGCTCGCTGGACAGCATGTTCAGCTTGTGGCTCTTCACCTTGAGCTCCTCCAGGTACTTCTTCTCCCGCTCCTTGACGGTGTTCTCCAGGACGGCGATCATGGCGTTCTTCTGCTCCAGCTCCTTCAGCAGCTCGCTGTTTTCAGTCTCTTTGGATTTTAGTTGAGCTTCCAGGTCTTCGCATCTTTTCTTTAGTTCGCTGCTTCTAGAAGACCCGTCTCCTACGAGACAAGCAGAGGGAGTGGGCTAAGCACCCACTGAGGGGGCAGGAGACCTGCCGGGGTCTTGCGTGGTTGGCCTCATATCCTGTGTGAGGCGAGCTACCGGAAGAGGGGTGCTGAGGGGGTCCTCTCACCTCAGCAAAGGAGAGCCAATGGTGGGTCTGCCAGGCCCCTTGCGGCTCTTAGTTCTCTGCTTATGGCAAAAAAAGAATGTCTCTGGATTTAAAAAGTGCTGAAGCTCAAACAGGCAACCTGTGGTTGTTCAGCCTCCTCAGACACCTGGGGCTGGACTGTGGCAGGGCTGGCGTCCAGCCACGTAGCCCATTGTGGGAGGGCACACGGGCAACAGACTCCTGGCAACGGAAGCACCAGCCCCGACAGTCTCATCTCACTCAGAGTGACGCACCCCTTGCCCTCAGCCCCCAACCTCCCCACTTGGCCAGTCTGCTGCCCTGTTCCACATCGCCCCCAACAAGGTGGATGCTGCTCCCCCACCACCCCCCAGTGACATAAGGCCCAGCCCCACATGAGGGCCTGGCTCAGTTCCCTGCACCTCTCAGAAGTCGGGGATCTGCCCATGTCTCTCTGGGTTCTGCCTGCTGGTCTGGAACCTGCCTGGCTCCGAGAGTCAGCCCTGGGGTGATGGCCCCAGACATGGCCCTCAAGCCTGGCTGGCTGTGCCCCTCTTCTTCACTTCCCCAACTTGACCAAGTCCAGGCATGTCACATCCTTGGGGTGGGGGGAGGGTTGCTGACTGGAGGGGATGCCCTGTTCACCCTTGTCCCAGGGGCCCAGCTGCTGGCCGGACTGAGGAGGAGGCACTGGTGTCCTTGCTCCACAGCGTGACTCCTTCCCGCCCCACCTTGCGCATGCTGCTGCTGAGGGGCGCTGGGGTGAAGTGACTGAGGACTGAACGAGCCCTCAGGCCTGGGGACATGTGTGCAGGGGCTGTGGGCAGCCTGTCCCTGTAAGGACTGTCACCCTCGTGACAGCTGCCACCATGCGCCTGTGAGAGAAGGGCGTCTTGACTCAAACATGGACCTGAGCTTTCCATTACCCACCCTCTTCTGGGGAGCAAGCTCTTAGCAATGGGCACAAAGCCCGTGACTCTTGCCGCTGTCCCTGCTGCCATTAGGCAAACTGTCCTGAGGGCTCCCCCCAAGCCTGTGGGGGCTCTGGTCAGGAGAGGCCTGGCAGGGGCTATGTGCTAGAGAAGGGTGTCTGCTCCCAGGGGCCCCCGCGAAGCGGGAGGGGTGGGAGTGGGCAAGCCCTGTGGTCTCTCCTTTCTGGCTGGAGTCTTGATTACAGGAGGAACATGCTCATTGTAGAAAAGCCAGAACATCCCGAAAACCACGTGACAGCCATCCCAAATATATGTGTCAATCAGAAGAAGCCCCCTCGGCTTCCTCGGGGCATGTGCGGGCGCTCTGTCCCACAGGGAAGGCCCCAGAGCCACAGCTAGGCACCAGCCCCACGAAGTTTGGGAGAAGTCTTCTTACCTGTCTGGTCTGCACTTTTGAGCATCAGTTCATATGTTAAATCTAGAAAGGAAGCCATACATTAATTCCATGTGGGCATGGTCTCTGCCTGAACCCCACTAGCTGCAGAGGTACAAAGGCCTAAGGCCCAGGCGTGGCCCAGGTCCCGCCGAGATGGAGCCAGCTGGGCAGCACCTGTGGCCTCCCCTCTCCCCAGGAACAGACTGCAACAACCCATAGCTGCTCTCCCTGCCCTGCAGGCCATAATGTGGCCCCCCAATGCCTTGTAAATGGGACCCACAGTGCTGTGCCCCTGAAGGCCCGCAGTGCCCAGACATGCGTCTGCTTGGTGCCCACCTTACACACAGAGCATCGGCGAAGACAGCTGAGCAACGCCCAGAAGAGGCCTTGCACGGCCAGGGAGCAGCCACTGGGCATCCAAGCCAGTCCCCCGGCCCCTTGCCTGAGAGCCCCACACTACCTGTGCAGTGTTGCTGCAGCCGCCGGATCTCGGCATGCAGCCCCTTGAGGGTGCTGGCATGCTCCCGCTGAAGGAACAGGAGGTTCTTCTGCGCACTGTGCAGCTGGTTCTCCAGGTTTGTGGTCGCCATGCTGACATCCAGGTGACCTGCAGGAAGAGGTCTGGGTCACACACTCTGACTGGAGGGTCAGCAGGGGGGCTGGCGGGGGAGAGAACGTGGCCTGCCCGTGGGCTTCCCAGGCTGTGGGGGGGGGGGGGGGCCGCAAGAGGCCTGACTCTACACATACTGGGAACCTCATGACCAGGGCACTTGACTTCGCTGGACATCGACAGACAGACCAAAATGACAGGCCATGTCACACAGCTGAGAGGAGTCCCACACCCACCCAAGAACAGTCACAGGGGCCCATGGGGCCAGCCAAAGTCTGCAAGCCGCCCTCTGTCCCCCTTACCCCCTTGGTTCTGTTCTCCACAGCAGCCAGAGTGAATGGGCTGGCACACAGCCAGCCAGAAGGGCTGTTATCAAAAAGTCAACAGGAAGTGTGTGTGAGGATGTGGAGGAAAGGAGACCTTTTGCATTGGCAGGGTGGGAAGCCATGTCAGTGTAGCCTCTTTGGATGACTATGGAGGTTCCTTAAAAATTAAAAATGAAACTTATATGATCCAGTCATCCCACTTCTCAGTATCTGACTGAAGAATATGAAAATGTTAGTTGGAGAGGGTCTCAGTAAGCCTGTGCTCACTAAAGCACTATTTACAATGAGAAAACAAGCCAAGTGCCAAGTGGATTAAGATGTATGTACACACAATGGACTACTATACAGCCATAAAAAGGTAACATCTTGCCATCTGTGACAACATGGGTGGAACTAGAGGGGGTTATACTAAGTGAAGTAGATTAGGTCAAAGACAAACGCAGTGTGATTTCACTCATCTGTGGGATCTAAAGCAGCAAGCAAATGAACAAAACCAAAACCAACCCTCAGGTCCTGAACCCAAAAAGGGTGTTCTTTCTCCTGCCTGCACTGCTTTCTTCCAGCCCTCCCCACCCCGCTGACAAACTGGGTATCCTCTGGCAGGAGGGGAGTCTGGGGGGGCTTCTCAAAACACTCTCCCCAGGTCTTCATTACACCTGCTCTTCCTGTGAGTGGGGCTTCTGCTCTTCTGAGCCAAAGTCCACTTCCCCCCAGCTGCAGTCTTGCATGAACCTTACACGGAGCCTGGGTCTAGTGGGCCTGCACTCAGTTTGTGTTAACCAGGTCCCGCTGCCCTTGGTCCTATGTGGAGGGCATCAGCCCTCGCCGGAGAAAACAGCATCTGCCAAAACTTCAAAAACCATGTGGCCTGCAAAGTCACACAAATTGAGGCCCAGGTACAGAAATAATACAAGCTCCTGTATCCTCCACAGGGGCTTGTGGGGAGTAAAGAGGGGGCCTTGGCTGCCCCCATTCCAATTGTCCTGTGGCCTTAAATTTTATGTGACAAATTTAAATATGATTTAGATAAATATTCACATGCTAACTGCCTTGGTGAGTCAGTGACTTTGATTCATACACTTAATCTGTAGCTCATCAATGCACCATGGTACCTGCAGAAATATAAATGCACCTTTGCAGCAGCCCCCCCATGGACAGGCAGTCGTGGGGAGAAGGTGCACAGGTGAGCTAGAGAGAGCAGCTACAGGAGGCTGGAGGGGAAAGGCCAGTGTGAGGCGATCTGTGTCCCCACACCACACTGGCCTCCTGGCCCCCACACAGCAGTCTGTCAGCCACGCTCTGGGCTGCCCACCCTGCCCTTTCTCTCTTCATATCTGAGCTCGCGACCTGGGCCCGGGCTTGGGGAAGTTCCCTGCAGCTCCGGCCCGGGCTGAGCAGGTCGGCAAGGAGAGAGCACTGGCTCCATGCTCACCACGAAGCAGCTGCCCCATGGGAATGTGACCTTACCCCATCGCTGCTCCCGTGACACCCAGCCAGGAGCAAGAGCTCAAAGTGCCCCTGGGCTGCGTTCTCAGACTAAAAGAAAGGGTGCGTGTTTGACAGGCAAGGGTCTCACTACTTAAAAATGGAAATGGCTTTGTTCTGGGCAATCAAAAGCAGACTTATCTTTTGGCTCCACACAAAGCCTGTGGAGATTTCAGAATCTGGAAAAAAAAAAAACAAAAAAACAAAAACACCCAAAACCGGCAGCAGCACCAGCACACCAGGGCTCACATGGTGAGTGTGAGTTAGTTATACTGAGCTACTTTAGATGCTGGTCATGAACAAGTCACAACCCGGTCACATCTGGTTCCTCGTGCCAGGAGCCCTTGGCTGGCCCCACCAGGAGCCCCAGGCTCTGCAGTGTCCAGCGCCTGGTGTGCATGGCCTGAGGCTCCTGGGGAATCCCCACGTGGCTCTGGGCCTGCTGCCCAAGCACTGCTGTGGAGAAAGGGCCGCAGCCAGTGAGTCTGGTGGTCAGCCCCAGCAGGGAAGTGGCTTCCTCTACTTTCATGAACTTGGAAAATACACAGGTGAGAGACACCTTCAAAACCAGCTGTTCTGACAATTTTTTGTTTCAAGATGGAGAGAATGAAGCCGATAGGAGATATGTGTACACTGTGGGATAAGAAAAGACCAGAATGGACAAATCTCTAAGGTGCTGACCGCTGCTTCGCCTGAGCCTGCTCTGGTCACCTGGACCATCGTTTTGAGCGCCAGATGAGTCACCTGCGGCTCTGGCACGTGGAAGACTTGAGGAAAATTGGAAATGTGATTTTGACCTTGACCTTGGTCTCCAGTTATGTAAATATGCCTTCAAGTTGTTCTTTTCCTCTCCCCTGCAGTGGCCAGGGCATCTCCTAAACACCAGCTAAGTGTGGAAGGGAGCCATAGAGAAATTCCAGTCACTTCCAAAGAGCAACATGAAAGCCAAGAGCAGAATCTTCTGCTGACTGTTATCTGCTGTTTTCCCTGGAGTGGAGCGAGAGTGGAGCCATCCAGCAAAGCAAATAAAGACAGGCAGGCAGTGCAGGGCACCCTTGGGACAGTAAAACCTATTTCTTACTTGGAAACAATCTATAGTACTCTACCAGGAGCTAAAAAAAAGGTCTGAGGCAAATTAGGCCATTGACTCGCAATTTTAATACCTGCTTTTAGGAGAAGCAACTTAGCTGCCTGGCAAGTGAGAAGCCCTCTTCGACCCCAGCAGCCCCTGAGGAGGCTGTCCTGTCCACTTTTCCTCTGGCTTATGATGTTCCCCCAGTCCAACACTGCAGCATCTTACGCCAGGGCCCCCAGGAAGACGCTGGTCCCTGTGGGCCCCTGTGTGCTCTGCTGCTCCTGTGTAGAAGAATGTGTGCACAGTTAGGTAGGGAAATGCTGAGTGTAAAAGTGACAAAAACCCCACGCATTAAGCGTTAATCATCCCTAGAGAATGTGGTTTCTAACAGTGGATGTGACAGGTGAGGTTAGGCGCTCAGGTGGAATCCTGGGCTCCCGTTCTGGCCAGGCCACTCTGAACAGCAGCTGCCTGAGCCCCCACTCTGTGGAGGAGCAGGTCTGGAGGTGACTGGAGGCAGCGCCACATGGCTGGGGAGCACCAGGCAGGGTCTGGTGTGTCACCGTAGCATGGAAGCAGTGCTAAATTTGGACTCCTCCAATGTGAGAGTGTGAATGCACAGTCCTGTTCCTAACAGTCCCTAACAGCCAAGGGAGGAAAAATCTGGTAGAAACAACCAAAAAAAGTATTTTTCCGAAAGCCTGAGTCTGCCTGAAAATGATGTGCCTGGCACGTAGGCACTGCGGTCATCAACCAGTGTAGATCTGTAGTGATGACAAATGTTTTATGATGGGTTAAGTCAAAAAGCATATTAAACGCAATGCAGGGCCCTCCCTGGTGGCTCAATAGATTAAAGTTCAGCACTGCAAGCTAGTCACAGCCCCCTCAATGTGAGTTCGATCCCCAGCCCCAGATGTGATCCACACGGCCTGGCAGACCTCTCCTGACCTGCCCGCTACTCCCCTCAGCAGTGTACTTCGTCGACCTGCCTGATCTGCTCCCTACTCTATCTCTGGTGAATCCTCTCACTGCCCCTGCACCTCTGGCCTGTACCCTACTTCTCTGTGCATAAATAAATCTTTTCTTTTTTTTTTTAAAAAAGCAATGCATACATAATGTCAAATTTTTGTACATTATTAGAGAAGACACAGGATACATCAAATTGTCACAAACCCTAAATGGTGGGTTGTGGGTGACTGATTTTACTTCTTAAGAATTCTATCTTGGCATGACTTAAAGCTCAGTGATGAATGTATATATTTATATCAGAAAACTACTACAAAGCAATTTCTCTCAAAAAAAGCTAAGTGCTATGTGACATCATGCGTTTAATGGCATGGTTCTGGGCCAGCTCAGGTGGCTACAATCTCGATTAGGGTGCCAGTACAAACAAGAATTGCCAGGAAGACAGATTTTACAAAAGCTACAACTTAGTACCCCAAGATAGGCAGAAAATGATCACATAGCACTTGAGCACCTACCCCCGCCCCCACGCATGGCACATTCCTATAATTCTCTTGACATTATCCGTCATAAAACACCAGGCCCATCAACAACGTGAGCTGCTGACAGCCATTTCCTTCTGGAAGAATGTACAGCCTGACATTCAAGTTGTAATAGATGCGATTAGAGAGACTGGCAATTAGAGCTGGAAACATGAGCTGTCCTGTCTGGGAACCCGCAGTCACTGGGGCCGCCGTGATGGATTCGCTAACTGTTTCTCTGCAGTCTGATTAGCTCATCCTTCAGGCTTCTACTTGGCTTCTGTTTAAAAGCTATCTCCAGGGTCTGTCCATTGGCAGGGGCTTGCGTGAAGATGTCTCCCCCAAAAAGCTGCATTACCTAAAAGGGTGTTTCCTAAAAGGATCTTAAGTGGGATGAGCAGGCTGAGCTGGGCAAATGCCTGAGCTACCAGGGTCTGAAACCATGCGGCACCATCTGCAAGTGCCCTAGACTCATGGAAAACAAGGTGACCTAAGATGGCCAGAAGGCCAATGCCCAGAGACGTGCTAACACCCCATTTTTGTCCAGACTGGGCTGCTGTCAAGTCTGAATGCCAGGACAGAGGCAGTTGACACTTTTTATTTCAAAGAGTGAGTTTTAGAGGGAAG